TGAAATGGCAGCAGATTTACGAGATATTCTTATGGCACCGGATAACTCCCAGCCATTTACACAACCTAAAAATACATTAATCACGCGAACTGCATTATCTGAGCATAAGCGCCTAGAACAACTGATAAGCGGTGAAACACTAGATGGTTGTGCACCGTCTCAATTCTTACGCCGACTATACAGTATATTGGGCGACAGAAAAATCGATGACGCGTTACTCAAACAGCTCTTCCTCAAACGTTTACCAACACGTGTTCAGTCGATTCTCGCTCCGGATACAGATAACGTCCCTTTGACGCAACTGGCAAGTATTGCCGATAAAATACTCGATATAAATACTCGTCTAGCACAGTTTCCTCAATCAACGCTCGTCTCGATGAGCTCGCTAATCAAATAGCTGCTATTCGTTTTGATCCTTTTCAACGTCGTCGATCTACGCCTCAGCCTGCATACAAGCCCCATCGTTCTCTCTCCTCTAAACGTTCCCAGGCGTACTGCTGGTATCACACCCAGTTCGGCCGATCTGCTCGAAAATGCACAAAACCTTGTTCATTTCGGGTATCATCGCCTGCAAGAAATTTTCAGACGGGAAAAAGAACAGGCCGGACAGTAGATGCGAGTAGTGTCCCAGGCCTAGATTGCAGCACCCGCCGTCTCCTTCTCCTAGATAGGAACTCTGGTCTCCGCTTTCTGGTCGACACAGGTGCTGATATTAGCGTAATACCTGTAACCGCTGCGGACTCCAAACTGACTCCCTCCCCGCTCACATTGAGGGCGGCAAACGGCACTTGCATAAAAACACATGGACAAAGAGCGCTAGACCTCAATCTCGGCCTACGTAGAGCATTCAAATGGTTTTTCATCATTGCAGACGTACATCAGCCGATTCTGGGAGCAGATTTTCTGACTCAAATTTATTTAATAGTAAACTTAAAACGTCAAAGTCTACTTGACGCCACCACCCAATTAATAGTCAGAGGAAAGTCAACAGTTACGGCATTTGCCCTAGTCAGAGGAAAGTCAACAGTTACGCCGAGCATTTGCCCAATAACGCTATCATCACACGACTCTTCTCGTTACCACAACTTACTCCTAGAATTTCCAGAGCTCTTAAGGCCGAATTTTCATCAAACAGAACCGGCACACTCTGTAGTTCATCACATTGACGCACGAGGAACTCCCGTTTACTCACGTCCAAGGCGACTTCATCCAGAAAGACTAAAAATTTTTAAAGAAGGATTCCAGCACATGCTGCAGTTGGGAATCATTCGGCCATCCAAAAGTGTGTGGGCTTCTCCACTTCACATGGTCCCAATGAAAACTGCAACAGATTGGAGACCTTGCGGCGATTATCGAGCAGTAAATAACATAACGACTCCAGATCGCTCCCCCATCCCGCACATTCACGACTTTGCGTCTAATCTGGTGGGCTGTACGGTATTTTGTCGCGTTGATATCCTTTGGGCCTACCACCATATTCCAATTCACCCCGAGGACATTCATAAGACTGCAATCACTACACCTTTTGATTTGTTCGAGTTTCTGCGCATGCCATTTGGTTTGAGAAACGCAGCCCAAACATTGCAGCGTTTTATTGACCAAGTACTTTCCGGTTTACTGTTTGTGTTTGCTTACTTAGATTACATTTTAGTCACCAGTAATAGCGTGGAGCATCATCTAGAACATTTACGTCTTTTATTCAACAGATTGCGCGACCGTAGCGTTGTTATCAATGCACAAAAATGTATTTTTGGCGTGCCNGTCAATGTAGGTATTCCGACCAAATACGCGCTTGTTTTCCTCTAGGCTATTCATCTTTTCCGTTTTCAGAGTACACCGCGGTAAAACATGCCTATGCGATTACATAATGGAAATTGAACAACCATTAGATGAAAAGAGTGCGCTTCCTTAGGGACTCCGATGAAGGTGGATTCATAACTTTGAAGTCGTGCCACAGCATGTACATAACTTCTCGTGCTTCTACAGTTTCGTCTCAAACCATAACCGGGGTTAATTTGCATGGTCAAGTGCATAGTTTAGTGCATACCGCTGAAGGGGGACTATTCGCAGAGTTTTGTTAAATAATCTAGTCGATGGAACAGAAGTGTTCCACTCAATCAAGCAGTCAGTTTGTCCAAGTCACTGTCTTAGTTTACCCCGCATAGCTGAACTGCTGAATGTTCAAGCTGCCAGTTGTCTGACGTCAGTGTATTTCTACCGTTTTAGACTACTTTGGTGACGGCGGTTTGACTACACACGAAACAACAACACAGGGGACTGAGGTGACCACTCCTCAAATGGGGCAGACGACTCCAGGTGAGTCAGCTTCTTTTGGTTGCGACATTATATATATATATATATATATATATATATATATANGACTAGTGATTCTTCTGTCTAAAAAATCGTCACTCAAGGCCACAGTCGGCATGTGACCACGTGATGGAGGTGATGAAAGCCGAGTAGCACTATATCCCGTCTATCTGTGTGACAATTTGACATCCACTCGTGGCCGAATGGCGTAGTCTTTGATTTCTGTTCTGGAGATCGCAAGTTCGAATAGCCCTGGAGATTAGTGAGATATAGAGAGAGACAGTGATACAGATACAGACATTGTTTCTCAACTTTCGGCATAGAGTGACTTCCAAGTACAGTACGAAATCTTCATGGAAAAATTCACAAATCTTGTCATTCCGTCAATGAACTAAGTTAGCTGGACAAAACCCAGTCTGACCTTCAATCATCCGCAAATGTTTTGTGGTTGTTAGATTACGTTTTCTGGGTGATTGTGTGCAACCAATAATGTAGCGGTGAAATAGTTCATCTATAATACACTACATATATATTCAACAATTGTTTTCTCCCTTCAGGTGACGACAATAAAACAATGCTGATGAGAATCTGCGAGGATTACTACGGTGAGCTGTTACTGCAGTAAGGTCAAATAGATGCATGACAAGCGTGAGTAGGGACAGTATAAACAAAACGGTCGCCTTTCCAATCAGCTGAATCCAACTCACGAGCCATGACATCGAAACGCCTTGACACGCAATTATTAACCCGCACTAAATTCGCCAACCTTCCCAAAACTTTTCTGAAAAATTGTTTCTCTTCCAGAAACCGATGCCAAACGGTACCCAGAAAGGGTCGCCAACAGATTCAGGAACTTCGCTCGCAATCCCC